GGTGTGCCCTTTCCTATTACGTACAGGGGACTTCAGAAAATCCCAGCAATGGTATGTTAACTTTAAGGAAAATAAGTTTTTCTGCAGATTCCAGATGTGAGCTGTATGGACTGACAATGTCCCTTCCCTGAGATAACACTCTCTTACTGGGCACACTGGTTGGTGGGCAAGACAGCTGTCGCACTGTCACGTTGGCCAGACATCCCCTTCTTAGCCCAGTGAGACAAGGGATTGGTCTCTTTTGGCTTGCAAGGCTCCAGCATGCATGCCTCTGCCATGTCCTTCCTCTGACGTGGTGTTTCTGGAGGACAAGCCCCTGCCATGCTTGTCAAGACAGTGTCCCAGAAAGCTTGCCATGTTTTTACAAGAGTGAGGGGCTTCGACTCTAGAATACAACTCCTGTTACTGCTGTTTAATATACTATGAGCATAGCTAGTTTCTTCCTGCTCTGTGTGACCCCTTAGTGCTAGCCAGAACTTTTCCATTAGCTGCTGATGCATGTGATGAAAAGTTGGCTGGCATTACCCCCCTCCCCCCACTGCTGCTTAATGTCGATTGCTCACTGATTAATTATTTGGGGGATTCAAAAGGGTTGCTAGAATGCATTCCTTCTTCCACAAGGAGGCAAACCTGTAGGTCCTTTAGCTTGCTGAAAAAAAAAACGCTGTTCTCATCCTTTCTCCTATGGAATCTACCATCCACCTGGAAGGAACTTGCCATTTTACAAGCACAGCAATCCCAGTAATGTGTGAACTTGGGTAAAACTGATTCACTTTTCCTTCACTGAAACTAACACATCATCACTTAACATTTTGTATTATATAAAAGCAGAAGCTGCTTTCTGCAAAACTATTGCAGACGGTTGATTTTGCAACTGAAAAAGTGATAACCCTAGAATTTTGAAATCGTGAGAGTGATTTATCCAAGGCTAGCTAAAGAAATGTTGCTGCTTGATGTGGTGCATCATAGAATAATGGAGTTGGAAGGGGCCTAGAAGGCCATCAAGTCCAACCCTCTGCTCAGTGCAGGAAGCCTCGTGGCGCAGTGGTTAAAACGCTGTACTGCAGCTAAAACTGTGCTCACGACCTGGGGTTCAAATCCCAGGTAGCCAGCTCAAGGTTGACTCAGCCTTCCATCCTTCCGAGGTCGGTAAAATGAGTACCCAGCTTGCTGTTGGTGGGTAATGTGTAGCCTGTATAATTAAAATTGTAAACCGCCCGGAGAGTGCTTGTAGCGCTATGGGGCGGTATATAAGTCCAAAAAAAAAAAAAAAAAAAAAAAAATTAAAGTAGATCTGAAATGGTTGTCTTAACTTTCTCTTGAATGCCAGTGTTGGAGCGCTCACCTCCTGAGGTGATTGGTTCCATTGTCTTACTCCTCTAAGACTGTTTTTCCTGACATTCAGCCTAAATATGGCTTCCTGCAGCTTGAGCCCATTATTATGACTCCTGCACTCTGGAATGATCGAGTATAGATCCCGGCCCTCCTCTGTATGACAACCTTTTAAGAATTTGAAGAGTGCTAGACTGCTATCATATCTCCCCTCAGTCTTCTTTTCTCAAACATAAACAGTGCCAGTTCTTTCAGTCTTTCCTCATAGGGTGGTTTCCAGTCCACTGAACATCCCTGTTGCTTTCCTCTGAACTTGTTTCACTTTGTTTGTATCCTTCTTAAAATGCATTGTCTAGAACTGGACATAGTATGCATAGCCGGTGGTGATGTATTAGGGGAGCCGAAGATCAACATCTGGAGGGCAGCATATTACTCACCTCACCCCACCCTGATTCACAAGGCCTGCACTACCATTAGGCAGAACGAGATAGCTGCCTTAGGCAGCTGATTTTAGATGTGACTAAAAGACAGCAAACTGTGGTAATGTCTTTCTTCACTCTTCTGAAAGGGATGATGAAAGAGTAGCTTGTGAGATTCCTGCCTGAGGTAATGCATGCTTGGCCTTGGCTTCTATATTTGGATGTTCATTGCTATCTCCTCCTTTGCCCCAGAGCAGCAAAATGCTATGAGCCGGCCCATTGTATTGAGAATGAGCGTGTTACATGAACTGGGAAAAACTATTTATAGCAGTGGTTCCCAACCTTGGACCCCCAGATGTTCTTGAACCATAACTCCCAGAAATCCTAGACAGTACACCTAGTGGTGAAAGCTTCTGGGAATTGTAGTCCAAGAATATCTGGGGACTAAAGATTAGGGATGACTGATATGTAGGCTCGTTCAAAGAATGTTTACATGCCAACAAATCCCCTTTACAGTATTTGAGTTACACATACTTCCAAGAAAGTGTGCAAGAGTTATAGCCTGTCGACCTATAGGGATTTTTACCTGGAGATACATTTAACTTTTTCTTCTTTTGCTTCCAAAACAATACACACAAAATTCAAAGTTACATATGCTTCAATAAATTTAATAATGACTTTAAAAATGCAAATATATACATGCTTACCTGGAAGCAATTTTACTGCATTAAGTTGGGATAACTCCTTGATAAGTATAGATACAATTGAACATAGAGGATCTGGATGTTAGGCTCTTCACCTAGCTCTCCCCCTAGAGAAAAGAGAGGGAAGGAGGGAAATATTTAACAGAACAGTTTCACAACAAATTATTATTACCTGTACAGGACAAATCTGAATCTTACACAAGTCTTAAGTAGCAGGAGTACAGATGCAGCATTTCATCACTTGTCAATGGGTAACACAGGATTAGAAACGATTATCTATCAAGCTCTGACATAAAGCCAGTACGTGATTGCAGGCAAACTCATTGATATATTTGCTTTGGGAAATATAGAAGCCCTACATTCTACATGAAACAACACATTTGGTTGAGGACATGTATTTTGGAGATTGTTCATTTATAGGGTTCCCACAAATTGAAAGTGACTTGATGACACGTAACAACACAATATGTATTTCTCCACAAAATAAATTTCTTGTTATTTGCTGTCTTATTGCTTCTTCTGATGTATGCTAATTCTAACTGGGTTTTTGTAGTACATGAGATGTTCAAGGAAGGGTTTATAATGCAGCCCCCCGCCCAAGTTGGTTTCTATGGCTAAGCATGGATTTAACCCAATGTCCTGACTCTTAAGTCTCCGTACATAACATCACACTGGCTCTCTACAAAATAAACTATTGGTGAATAGATGTATGGTAATGAGGTGATGAGGGAGGACTATCTTTCTCCTATACAGTCATGCCCCGCTTAATGATTGCCTTGCTTAACGAGGAAATAGCTTTATGATGAGGTTTTTGCGATCGCAAAACGATGGTCTAAATGGGGGAATATCGCTTAGCGATGATCGGTTCCCTGCTTCGGGAACCGATTTTCGCTTTATGATGATCAAAAACAGCTGATCGTTGGGTTTCAAAATGGCCGCAGGCTGAAGAAA